GGTAACACTTTACTTGAAGGGGTGTGCATAAGACTGACATGACACCTTCATAATCATGACATGACACGTCATGAATATGAAGGAGGTTTTATGCATGTTTATGACAACTGTCATTAAGTGTCATTCGCTCAGTTATGTCATTTTTAATGCAAATATGACATTATTTGACCTAACCCTAACCTAACCCTACCCCTACCCTTACCCCTAACCATAGCCCATAACAAAGACATCTCAAACAATGTCAGCTTTGCATTAAAAATTACATAACTGAGCAAGTGACACTTAATGACAGTTGTCATAAACATGCATAAAAAACCCTTCATATTCATGACATGTGTCATGTCATGTTTATGTAGGTGTCATGTCATGATTATGAAGGTGTCATGTCAGTCTTATGCACACCCCTTCAAGTAAAGTGTAACCGATAATTGTTTAAATTAGTATAATAATTTGACTCATCGATTTTCTTAAAAATGGTTTAAAGCCTGAAATGAGAAGTGTATCATTTTATAAACTTTTTGTTTTTGTGAAAACTTGTATCTGAACTGTATCTGAATCATGTTTTTTATTGTTTAATAGTTTACCATAGACCAGTGGTTCTTTTCCCACCGGGCCGCACTATGGTCCAAGTGCAAGTCTCACGGGCCGCATATCATTTACATATTACGTCACCAATACAAACCAACCAGAATTATAATATTATAGCCTAAATATTATGATATCTAATCGATTACATTTATTGAAATAAATAAAGAAATAATTCTACTCACCATTAATAAAACACCTGATTTCGTTTTTCTCCCTTAATATTAAATGTGTCCATTCTGAGGCTCAATTTTACCGAACTAATGGCTGCTGATGACTATTTGAATTTAATTCTGCCAAAGTGCGCGCTTGTAAGTGTTTGTTAAATGCGTAAAGTTAATTACGTGAGTACAGGTCTGCTCACGTCTGAAAATAATATATGAAAAACAAAATTATTTTACATAACAAAAGCATTATAGCTTATATTTGTTTAGTGCATTTTTAAATTAATGTAAAAAAGTCTTAAATTTGAGCTTAAAAATCCTGCAGCAACCCTGAGTTTATGTCGTCCAATTCAGAGTTTCTTACTATGAAGGGCCATACAAGCCATAATTCATTCTGGCGCTCTAACACGCTTATATTCTCTTTTAACATTCATACATTTTTGCTCTCACAGTCACATTTTAACGCACGCATTCAAATATTTACCTCTTATATTCATATATTTTACGTTTGGGTAAATCAGAAAGAGCTTTATTGCATACGCAAGGAATTTGTCTTGGTGTCAGGAGCTTCCAGTACAGAAAGTACAGACATAGTGCAGATATACATATAAATAAGGTAATAAAACAGTAATAATAAAGAGTAATAATAAAATATTCATTTAGCCCATCTGAGGTTTTTGTTTTGCGCAGCTGCTTCATGTTGCAGATATCTTTTTGTTTGTTCGCTTAACCTCTTAACTCCCCCCCCCCCCCC